AAAGCCACGAACCAAACCAGAAAATAAAGTACACAAAACCAAGAATCAAGTGCAAAGATAAAAACCGAAAGTTTGAACACGGTATCGCTGTCCTCAAACTATATTTGCCACCTCTCGGATTGAAATTGATGCTTGAAGGGATAAATGCAAATGGTTTATAGGATTAAACAAGCATTGTAAAGGATTTAACACTCAAACATTAAATGAAATCATCCAAAACTTGAAGAACACAATGAAAAAAATTTAAATATGAAGAAGAAAAGTGTTAATTTCTTTGCTTTGTGGAATATATATTGTTCAATAAATGATTTTTTTATCATATTGCTTTGAACATGAATCATCTATTTATAGCCCTCAAATGCCTCCTACGAAATGACGCCAAAAATGTATAAAAAGCCACCAAATTCAATAACAAAACGGCAAAAAAGGCCAAAAAATTGACCTACGCAGTCGCATAGGCCAATCCTATGCGACCGCATAGTCAAATCAATGCCTGCACCTCAAGTCCCAGTATTAGTCTATGCGAGAACTATGCGGTCGCATAGTTCAACTATATGGCCTCAATCCCATTTTTCATTCCACATCCATTTTATTGATATTGATCAATATTTTTCAACAATCCACCACTTAGTTCAAAATTGAATAAAATCTCGTATTCAAAATATACAATACTCATACTTAAGGATTAGATATATTTTGATTTGAATCTAACCATAGTGTAANAATATACTATACTCATACTTAAGGATTAGATATATTTTGATTTGAATCTAACCTTAGTGTAATTCATACAAAGTAAAGTCGGAATTAGAGGTAGCGTGAAAGTTTTAAACCAATTATTCCATATAACAATACCGGTAAGAACACACACACAAGTATTACGCGTTCTCAAGTTCTTCAATCTCGCTTAGTGCTAATATATCCATGTGCTCATCCTTTTCAACAAACTTTTAAGATAGAAACTCCAACTCTCTATTGAATCGACACCACCCCGAAGTTCATCTAGGTGAAGTTCTTCCAGTATCTTTGTTATTTTTAGAAATACTTGTACTTAGTAATGAACTTCATTAAGAGCTTTCAAACCTAGCCCTCATTTTAGTAACAACCAGCATTATTTAATTAGAATATGGTTATTGCAAATCATATAATGTTGAAACTATCCATATATCCAATGACTTGTTGTTATCCTTTGAACCCGTGGATTACTTGATAAGTAATGACAGGTAGGATTTTTATCATTGATGGATATTTAGTTCAAGAGTTTCAACTACATTCTACTCGAAGTAGACGTCACTAAATCTCTATCTAGAGGTTTAGTTAAAGGATCTGCTAAATTTTCAATTGACTTAACATAATTTGGGGAAATTATTCCATCCTTGACGTAGTCATGTCTAAAACTCATATGTTTAAGCTTTTCACTGCATACATCATTGTATGCTTTTGCTAATGTTGCTTGACTATCGCACATAATAAATATTTATGATGTAATCTTTAGTCCCCAAGGTATCTCAGAGAGTATATCCTTAAGCCACTTAATTTCTTTCCCCGTTTCTGATAGTGCTACAAATTCAAATTCCATAGTCGAGTATGTTATAAATGTTTGTTTCTTTGATTTCCAAGAAGTAGCTCATCTTCCAAGAGTAAACACCAACTTGAAGTAGATTTACTTTCACCCATACTAGATATCCAACTAGCATCTGTAAATCCTTCTAATACAGTTGGAAATTTAGTGTATTGTAGACCTAAGTTCTTGATTTTCTTTAAAAATCCAAGACTCTTCCAATGGCATTCCAATGATCATTGCTCAGATTTCTAGTAAACCTGCTAAGTTTACTAATTGCAAATGCTATGTCCGATTTTGTGCATTGAACTGCATACATTAGACTCCATATAACACTTGCATACTCCAATTAAGCAACTGCTCTTCCATCATTCTTTATTAATTTTGAACTTGGATCAAAAGGGGTACTATATTCTTTTATGTTCAAATGTTTGAAATGATAAATGATAAGGCTTCTTAGTCATTTTAGATTCTGCACCTGTTTTGTTGGGAATTTACTTAACATGCACAGCGGAAAATTAATTATTTTTCAATTCTCACCACGGATCTGCTTTGTGTTTAGATAGAAACTATGTTGAGAATAATACCTTTAATGAATTCTGCAAACTCTTTTGCTGATTCTCGAACTCCAATGATCACGATCTGCAATCCAAGCTGTTCAATTGTCCAGCCTCCAATGGTGATCCACACAGAGAACATGAATGACGGCTAGAGTTTTACTTTTCTTGTGCTAGCTAGAATAATGAAAATTCCATACAGTTTACAAACCCTAGCAGCCTATTAATATAAGCCCAAGTGGGCTGGCCCATTTTTAAACTTTACCCGGTCCGATATTTAATTAATCAAATTCATCAAATTCGGTTCATGAATTAATTAATCCAATTAATTAATTCGGGCCTATTAATAAGCAACTCAGTTAATTAATTGTCCAACACTTGTCAATTAATTAATTGGTAAATTTCATTCTTCTGGTTCTCTTTTGTGTGTGACCTATTAGGTTCCCGATCACGATTCCTAACG